CTTTTTGAAAATTCAGATGAGCCAACCAAAAGGCAGCAACTTATACTTCAGAGATATGAATGAACCTTAAGAAAATCCAGCCGTGTTATACCAGACATAGCACAAGTGGATGCGTTTAACAGACAGAAGTTTATTCTTTAACAGTTTAGGAGCCTGTTCTTGTTAGGTGCCATTGAGGGACCATGGCCCAAAGCGACCCTCTGAACAGACCCATACCTGCCTTGTCCTGTGCTGTCCTCATCATCTCCAATGTATTTATCTGAGCCCATTAAAATTTTTTTTAATTTTATTAATTTTGTGCGTGTGTGTGTGTGTACACCATCAAATCGGATCTGACTGGTACAGGAGGAGATTGCCCCTCCTTCTCCAGCAGAGCATCTGGTGGATTCAAACCGCATACCTCTGGGATTGCAGTGCAGCTTCTTGCCACTAGGTCACTAGAGCTCCCTTGAGCCCATTTTTATAGTCTTTGTGTCAGTCCATCTCCTTGAGGGTCTTTTCTTCTGCTGACCCTCCACCTTACCAAGCATGAGGTCTTTTTCCAGGGACTTGATGGATCTCCCTCCATGCAACATGCCCAAATGTGAAACGAAGTTTCAGCATCCTTGCCTCTAAAAGCACCCTGGTTGCACTTTCTCCGAGACATGCCTGTTTGTTTAGGAGACCAGAAGTTGAAATTTAGGAAGCCATCGCTAGGGAAAGGCCTGCCGTTTCCTGTCTGTTACAGAGGAAGGTTCTTGTTTCCTTGAACATCTGCTGGCCCGGCGCTCCTTGGGGTTCTCCATGTGTCCTAGCCTGCCCAGGCTGAAGGAGCTTTCCAGTTCAGAGACCTGGGTCCAAAAGGACACATTCCACTTCTGGCAATTATTTCTTCATGTACTGAGAGGTTCCATGCCCCCACCGCCTTGTTTTTTGCCAGTTTTATCTCTCTCTCCCTCACTTCCTCACTCACTGCCGTTGAGTTAGAACTGATTTGTAAGCTACCCTCCAGCCTGATTTTGGAGGCTGCAGATCACATGGCTCGTCTCTGCTGGTGGATTTGAGACATAGCCTTTGGATTACTAATGCAATTCCTTGTAGACCACACCACCAGAGCTCTCTCCTTTTATCTCTAGTGATAAGTTGTGACAGACTACACCCAGGGAAACTTCCCTTAGGTTGATCGAGGCTGTGATGAGATTAAAAGCAGATTGCATTCCACCTTTAATCCTCCCACAGCTATTTGGCTTATCAGAACATGGGAGATAATGGTATAGTTTCTAGATGGTATCATTTGGAAGCAGGAGTGGCATCCACTTCCTAAACAACTTTGATAAATGACAATAATTATAAAAAGGCTTTGGACCTTTTGTTATTTTGTTGATGGCAATCAACAACAACAACATTATATATGTGTACTTTTCTTTTTCTTGTATACCATTGAGTGGATGCAGGAGGAGATTGCCCCTCCTCCAGCGGAGCATCTGGTGGATTTGAAACGTGTGCCTTTGGGATTGCAGCGCAGCTTCTTGTCACTAGGCCACCAGAGCTCCCCATTTATGTATTCTTTGAGGGGGACAGTTCGTTCAATCCATGACAGTACTCCACCAGCATCTTCTGATGGGAGCCATGTGACAAATGCATGTGAATCAAAACTCCCTAGCACCTGTACAAGCTCTGATAGTGTAGGGATAAAGCCTTGTACTGCCAACTCAGAAGCAGGCAGCTCAAAGCCACCAGCTCTTCTGAGGGAGAAAGATGAACAGTCTCCTTCTGGGTGATTACAGACTCTGAAAACCTGCCAGAGGGTCAGCTACGAAGTGATTGACTAGATGGTATATAATAACAATAATGCCTGTAGTTGGATTAGAGGAACTTTCTTGAACTTTTAACCCCCCGGTCTGCCCGAGAAATCAAAAACACATTTCATCCATCAACCGATGTCCAGAGTAGAACTGCCCATAAGGGTTTCCAGAGATATAGGTCTTTATGGAAGTGGATTGCTGCACCTTTATCTCACAATGCACTTGGTGCACTGCAACCAGCAGCCTGGGTGTTAGTGGCTGAGAACTTCAACCAGTGTACCACTAGGGTGCCTTTCAAACACTGCTGGTGAAAGAAACATGAATATATTTTGTGTCTTCATAGCCCATAAAGATAATGCATCTTATCTACAATAGGAGGAAAAATTCTAGAAATGTTAAGGTGTTTCTAACAATTAAGGGCGCTCTAGTGGCCTAGTCTGTAGGAAGTTATGTTACCAGCACAGAAGTGGGGGTTCTCTGTTTGAATCCACAGGCAGCTACACAGGAGAATGGTGGGTGTTCTTCTCCCGTGTGATTGACAGCTTCCCAGAACCTTGCCAGAGGGTCCGTTCCAACGTGATGACAAGGAGTTTTTATTTTTTTTTAAATAAAAATTGTAGACATCTTTAAACTTTAAGGAGCTCTGGCAATACAGTGGTTAAAGCACCCAGTCACAAACGGACAAGTGGCACTTTGGACTGACCAGCTGCCCCAAAGGAAAGAAAGATGTGGCTATCTGTGTAGAATCTGCCTGGGAAACGCTTTCAAATGGTTGTGTCTTGTTTTGCACATACATTATGAGTTGGATTCGACATGATCACAGTGAGGCTAGTTTTTGGTTGGTGACACACTGGTTAGAGCATTTGCTGCTAACCAAAAAGTCAACTGTTTTGTCCCACCGGCTGCTTCTTGAGAGAAAGCTGAGAGAGTCCGCTGCTGGAAGACTTTGGAGCCTTGGAAACTCAGTGGGGCAGTTGTCTTGTGTCCTTAACAGGTTGCTGTAAGTGGGAGTCAACTCGAAGACAATGGAATTAGCTGTTCTTGTTAGTCAGAATGTTGTTGTTGTTAGATGCCATGAGTTGGAACCCACTCACAGCTGGCTCCCCAGTGAGTTTTCAGAGGCAACACATTGCACAGGGAGGAGAGCAGCTGGTGGATTAGAACTAAATGCCTTTGGATTGACAGTGCAGCTCCCTACCATTGCATATAGCAAAATATACACCAAGTCATAGTTTCTGCATGCACAATCTGGTGCCTTTGATTATGTTGAGTTGGGCAGTCATTCTTACATTTTTTTCCCCTGTGATGTTTCTCCCTCATTAACAAAGTCCCAGTCACCTAAGACTCCTGTCTAATCTTTTGCGTTACCATTGTCTGTCTGATTCTGTATGGCTAGTTCTTGGCCAGCGGCACAGTACCCCACAGAGTATATCACACTTCTCTCATATCAAAGTAAAACAAATCATTCCCTTGGTGTCGGAACTGACTTATAGCTGACCCTTCAGTAGGTCTGTTGGAACTGACTCATAACTGACCCTCCAGCAAGTCCGGAGGCTGTAAATCACGTGGGAGGAGATTGCCCATCTTTTCTGCACAGAAGCTGCTGGTAAATTTGAACTACCAGAGTGACACCACCGTTGGGTTAACGTCACAACTCTCCCTTTGGACTGCACCCCCAGAGTGTGTCATAGAGATCCTTCTTAAAAGGACTTACTGTTCAAGGCAGGCTTTTGTGACTGTGAGTTAAACTGTTGTTTGCTTTTTAAAATGACTTCAGGGCATATTTATGGTTTAAGGTTTAAAGATTGTCTTAGGGCAATAGTTTCATTCTATCAACTGCCAACAGTTGTGTTTCAGGTGTCCAGCAACAGAAGGTCTGGAGTCCAAGCGAACCTGGAAATTCCATTCTGCATTTCTCCCTTTTCAGATTCCCCGTGGCACATGCCATGAAAACAGCATAGGAAACAAATAAATGCTTGTTCTTTTTTGATCTTGTGCCCTGCCACTTTGCTGACTTCCTCTATTGCTCTGCACATTTCTTGGTTCCACCCTTTGAGATATAGGAGACCTTGGCTTCATTCTTTAGAACCTAGCCAGTCCTGTTTCCTATGTTCATCAGACCACTTCTGATCCCTAGAATTCTCCAGAGCTGGCCCTTTTCTTAGATGATGACAGACGTAGCTCCCTTGGCATCTGGACTGCCTGGAGAACTCCAAGAGGCTGACAGTGGTTTTTTTCTTCTGCTCTTTCTCTGTCCTCTTCAGTCTAAGCTGATGGGTTTTCTGCTGAGGTAATTGGCTCGCTCTTGCAGTCACAAGTTTAATCTTCTTAAAAAAAGATTGAGTCACCAAGCCTTGGGTGAACATTTCAGGGTGCATATCTTTAGTTTGAACAATATAATTGTCTAGATCTTTAACTTCTTATTTCATTTTGTATGATTCCTTTTAAAGTCTTTGTCCTCTTGAGTTTTACTATAAGAAGCAAGGAGAAACCATAAATCTCCTTATCCAAACATCCAGGTTTGTCTCGTACAAGTTCTGCCTTCCATCAGACATTCTAACGTACTCCACAGTTTGGCACTTCATAAAAAGCCTAACCCTCCCTCCATTGCCCAGTCACTTACTCACCACTTCCTTTTAGAGTCTTAGCTGAAGCCCATTTGATACCCACATTTCTGGTTAGCATTCAGTTGCTGGTTCCGTATATGTATATGTGTGTATATATATTCTCTAATGAGTCTTTCTCTATATCTCTCCTCAGTTCTCTTTAACTGTCAACAGAATGGCCTTGATTTCCATAATTTTATCAATAATTTCTTCAAGGCAAGATAGGCTTTTACTATTGTTGTTAGGTGTCGTTTAGTCGAATATGACTCATAGTGACCCTATGAACAAACAATCTGAACCCTGTTCTATCCTGTATTCTGTCCTCACATCCTGACACAGAAGAGCCATTGCAGCAGTCACCATGTCAATCCACCTGGCTGAGGGTCTTCCTCCTCTTTGCCAACCCTCCACCCTTTCCATCATCATGTCCCTCTCCAAGGAATAGCCCCTCTTAGCAATGTCCAAAGTATGTGAGGCGAAGGCTCATCATTCTTGCCTCCAAAGAGCACTCTGGCTGCACCCTCTCCAAGACATATCTGTTAGTTTTCTTTAAAGTCGTGGTAGAAGACTAATGTCAAAACTAATTTAAACTTGTTGCCTTTTAGGATCACAGAACAATGACATGAAAAGACAGTTTTTGCTGGAGCGTCTGCTGGATGCAGTAAAACAGGTAAGAGGAAGACTGTTTGACTTTTGGTCAATAATCGTATCACTCGACTAACACAAATGTTGTTTCTAAATGTCTGGGAAGCACCCATTTTCACTTCCATCCTCAACTTTGTGCCTTGGAATAGCAAGACTAACAATTTTCTCAGCAAACTAGGTCATATAGAAGGTGACCAGAGGTAGGGATGAAGGAGGTTGATGTCCTGAGGTCATATAGAAGGTGACCAGAGGTAGGGATGAAGGAGGTTGATGTCCTGAGTTGCCAAGTCCCCACGAAGCCCTTTAGCGATGTTCCTTTGAGAAGGGTATGATTGTGGGTTTCAGGGTCTGTTTTCCAAGCCATCTCTGAGTGTCTTTTGAGGATGGTGAGTAACAGTTTGGAGTTAGAACTTCATAAGCACAAGAACAGAGGTGAGGAGGTATCTTGCCATTTCCAACATAGTCAGTTTCCAGCAGCTGCAATGTGAACCCTGTAGGTGGGATGTGCCATGATTGTTGATGTTTCTGTGATGCTAGCTTCTGGCTGGGCTTAGAAGCTAGCTCTGACGTGAGACCCACTCACTCTTCAGGCCTGCATGTGCGAAGTCCCAGGCCTGCAAAGGTACCTAGCACTGTTTGCTCTTGTTTCTCACACCTTCCCTTGGTGCCAGGCTCTCTGGCAATGGCCCAACATTGACTCTTCCTTCTCTGTGAGACAGCTACTGCTATTACTTCCATTTTACAGATGAACAGATTGAGACTCAGAGAAGCTCAAGAACTGGCTCAAGGCTTCATTGTCAGGAAGTGACCGAGCTCAAAAGAAAGATGAGGGTTCTAGTCGCTTACTGTTGGAAGAAGCCATTGATGTTTATATGCCTTGTGGCGTAGTGTGTGATGTGTTGGGTTGCTAACCGAAAGATGAGCAGTTTGATTCCACCAGCTGCTTCAAGGGAGGGAGATGGGCAGTTTCCTCCTACAAAGATTTACAGTCTTAGAAATCTAGAGGAGAATAATTATTAGTTTGAATCAACTCTTTGGCGATGGGTTTAATGATAATATGGAGAGAGAAATTCTTTAATAGAAATGACTTCAATTCTTTTAAGTGTTGAAAGGGCCTGGTAAGTCTTGAGGGGCTGCTGCGGAATAATAGGTCACATGGCAGCTTTAGCTCTTCATGGCTGTTTGTGGTGCTGGGACAACTTTCTGTGAAAGTCCCTATTCTCTCTGTGCCCAAAGTCACTATCACCATAGAGCTCTTGAGAGAACTGCATGCAGTTAAGTAGGTCAAGGCCTGGCCACAGCCCTTGGATGCTTCAGATGGTTAAAGTACTCTGTTGCTAACCAAAAGATTGGTTGGTTGAGTCCAGCCAGAGGCCCCTCAGAAGAAAGGTTTCAAAGTCTGCTCTTCCTTACCACCCACCGAAAGAAAGGTCATTGAAAGCCCTATAGAGCATAGCTGTGCTCTGGCTCACATGGGAACAGTTATCTGTCAAAATTGACTTCACAGTGGCAAGAGACTTTTTTTAAAATCATGGCCTGACCAGTGCCTGATCTTTTGTATATGTTGTTGCTGTTACATGCCATTCAGTTGGGACTGACCCATAGCTGACTCTCCAGCAGGTTTTCAGAGGCTATACCATCACCTAGGAGGAGATGGCCCATCTTTCTCCCATGGAGCATCTGGTGGATTTGAACTGCATACTTTTGGGTTAACAGTGCTGCTCCTTACCATTAGGCCACCAGAGCTCAGAACCCATATGGTGTTATTATTATGATTTGTGTTTGAGGCGGTGATGGTTATTAGCTGTAGTGTCAAATCTGATTCGTGATGATGCTGTGTGTACAGAATAGAACCCTGCTCTGGTGTTTCCAGGGCATGATCTTTTAGAAGCATATTGCCAGGCTTATCTTTGTCAAAGGTCCCTCCAAGTGGGTTTGAACCACCAATCTTTTGTCTAGTAGTCAGATGTTTAACCCTTTGCACCATCAGAGAATCCTCACAGAGCCTGCAATATTAATTCTTTCTCTCTCTGCTCCAGAAATGGAGTATATGACAGGTGGTAAGGAGACAGGTTGAACCACTCAAAAAAATTGAGTCTTGGTCCAGAGTTCACATGATTATTATTTTAGGAGGGAGAAGTATATATCTACCTTCCAAAATCAACTCAGTTGGGTTAAAATTTGCATAGATTAAGGCACTTCAACTTTAAACTGACAAGTTGATGAATTTTGACAAATAGATTTGTTGTGTGCGTGTTTTTTTTTTAAATAGATTGTTTTAAATTTCATATGTGGCTTTTGATAACAAATTTAGCAACATGGAAAGTCTACAACCCACGACAGAGAATCACGCCTTCTGAGGAGAGTGGCTTGCTCTCTTTATCACCCTCCCTGGGTGAATCGCCTCTCTGCACCACCAGGTGACTTGTTTAAAGTGATTGCACAGTCGTAATTCTAAAGGCAGTCATAACTTTGGGCTTCCTTAAAAGGAACCCTCATCCCAGGTTTGTGGAAGTTTTAATTATCGCCTGATGAGAGCTCAGTGTTACAGACATATCTCTGTTGACAGCTGGTAGCAGGTTCCTGGCCTGGCTGCAGAAGGGGGACGGCTTGTTTTCCTCTGAGCAGTTTCCCCAGGAGGCCTCTTTTCTAACAAGTGGGAGATAAGGGTTTCCTTTAAGTGGCAGCTGGAAGGCTGTGCTGCTCCTATCTGTAAGTCTTGTGCTGACACCCAGGGCACCCAGTGTATCTGGCCCCCTGTCCTCCTCCTGACCCTGAAGCCTCATGGAGGCTGCTTTGTGATATTTACATGTTCCATCAACAGCTGATCTCGATGACTTCTTTTTCTCTGCAGTGCCAGATCCGCTTTGGAGGGAGAAAGGAGATCGCCTCAGATTCTGACAGCAGGTAACAGCTTCCCCTGGAGAATGAAAGGTGGAAAGAGGTGGGCCAGAGGAGCACCGATCAGCCTTGGGTGATGTCAAGGCGTCTGAAGAGTGCCTTCCTGTCTCAAGTATTTCTATATCTATGCCTATACCTACGTATCTTTCTACATAAAGTTATTTTCACAATAGTTTTATAATCATGAAAACTAAGAAAACGAAATGCTACAACAATGGAGAAAGGATTAATCAGTTGGTTTTAGTATATTAATAGGATGGAATGTTATGGAGCCATTTGAAATGGTATTCATATAGAACTTATTTTAAGCAGAAAAATGCACAGTAATGACATGTTTAAAGGGCAGGATACAAAATTATATGCACACTGAGTGACTCTTAAACCATACCAAGTCAAATCCATTGATGTCAAGTCAATTCTGACTGATAGAGACTCTGTAGAACAGAGTTGGGTTTTCAAGTTTGTAATCTTTCCAGAAGCAGACTGTCACAGTCTTCTCCCTCTGAATGGCTAGTAGGTTTGAACTACTGACCAATCAGTGAGCCGTTGAGTGTTTAATCACTAAGCCACCAGGGCTTCTTTCAGTGACCTCAGCTATATTAAAAATAACAAGATAGATACAAACACTTGGTACTCTCTACTTTTAGGAGACTTTTGCCTGAATAAGCTTCATGTAATAGATTAGGATTCATGTAGGGAGCTCCGGTGGCCTAGCTGTTAAGAAGCTGTCCTGCAATCCCAAAGACACACAGTTCGAATCCACCAGCAACTCTGCAGGAGAAAGATGGGCCATTTTCCTCTTGTGCAATTAATTGCCTCTGAAAACCCGCTGGAGGGTCATCTATGGGTCTATTCTGACTTGAAGGCACACAACAATGACAGTAATAGTAGATTAATAGAAAGCCCTGGTGGCCTTGTGAGTAAAGAGATGCTTTGTCAACTCAAAGGCATGTGGTTCGAATTCGCCAGCTGCTGCGCAGAAGAAAGATGGGTATTCTCCTCCTCTGGATGGAGAGCCTCTTAAAACCTCCAAGGGGGTCAGCTGTGAGTTGGTTCCTAACTGCTGGCACATAACAACCACAACAGCAGATACACTGAACAAAAAAAAGAAACAAAACTTATAAGTAACACACCAGGAAGTGGCTAGAGCTTGTGTTGTACATAAGAATATTGAGAATCTTTATACTTTCTGGTATTTTCTACCATAAACCTATATTCTTTTTATTTAGAATAATAATAATAAAAAAAAGTCCTTGCCATGGATATTTATGACTCGAGGAAGACTACCATCATTATTGAATAAGTTTATATAATAATACTGATGGGGTTGAGTTTTGGCAAGAGGTACAGAGGTGTCCAGATCCATTCTGCAAAGGCTTTGTGACGCTGTCAGATCAGATTCATGCTTTGTGGGCCCTGGAATATTCCTGCTGGCTAAGGAGAGGAGGAGGTGGGGAGGGAGGAAACTTACTTGCTCAGCATTCATTCATGCTGGACACATACCAGCTCCCTGTCTGGCCCTCTCACCCCAGTCCTCCAGCAGTCAGACATTCCCTTCTGTCCCTTTATCCCCTTGTCTTTCTGTGCCCTGATTCTGTAACAGCCTTTAGCAAAGCAGACAGAACTAAATTTTAACATAGCCCTAGGGGTCATTTGAATTGTACATACATTTTAAATTGTGCTTCTCTCCTCGACAATCTCTCTCCCTTTTTGACTTAATTATCTCTATCACATTCATCAGCACCTAACAGATTATACATTATGCTTATTTATGTGGTCTGCTGTCTGGATTTTATCACTAGACTGTCACTGAGTGAAGGCAGGAGGGGTTTTTTTTCTCTCTTGTTCACTGATAGGCTCTCTGGGCTCAGAAGCATCCAGAAGGTGCCTGGGAAAGCCTTGCTGCCGGAGTGAATGTATGTGGCATTCTACTGTAGTCGAATAGTGGTTACATGTCCACATTATCACACATTTTAGGAGCGTGGAGGCAAAGAGCTGCATCCTCACTTGTCATTGCTCCGTGTTTTGCACAAGAGTTTCGTTCCAGTACCATTTCAGCCGCGGGGAGTAATGATGTGGCATTAAATCATCTGACTGACCAGTGGATTCACAGCTTCCTGAGGGCCTGCGCTGGGGCCTGATGTTGGTCAACATCAGGATTTGTCTTTTGTAATCCTAGATCCACCTCCATAGAGTCACCTGAGATGCTTAATTAGTACAGTTCCCATGTTACATCCTAGAGGCACTGAATCAGAATCTGTGTGTGGAGAGCTCTGGAATCTGAATCATCAACCACTCCCTGGTAATTCTACTGGGCATTGAAGCTTCCTGTCTGGTCACTCTTAGAGGTCCTGGGATAGTTGGGGGGGTTCATCCATCTCCAACCTGGGTTGGTGTGTCTGTGTGTGTACTGTAGAGTCAGAACCAACCCATAGCTGACTCTCCAGTGTGTTTTCAGAGACAGTTAATCACATGGAAGGGGATTGCCCATCCTTCTCCCATGGAGCAGCCTTGAACCCGGTGCCTTCAGGATTGCAGTACAGTTTCTTGCCACTATGTCATCAGAGCTCCCTAATCTATCTAAGATTTCCT